CCCCCCCCCCCCCCCCCCCCCCCTCCCCCTTTCTCCGGGCGACCTATAAACCGCAGCCGGTCACCGCGGTGCTGAAGGACTCCGGTCTGTCCAAGAGCGACGTGGACGAGGTCGTGTTGGTGGGCGGTTCTACCAGGATCCCTAAAGTGCAGCAGCTTCTGACGAACTTCTTCGACGGCAAGGAGTTGAACCGGAAGATCAACCCCGACGAGGCNGGGGGGGGGGGGGGGGGGGGGGGGGGGGGGGGGGGGGGGGGGGGGGGGGGGGAGGGGGGGAGAGATAGTGGCAGAGAAAGATGAATGGCAGAGAAAGCGAGAGGGAGGGGCGAGGAAGACGGAGAGAGACAGAGAGAGAGACATAGAGAGGGGAGGGGGAAGAGACAGAGAGAGAGACAGATGATAGAGAGGGAGGTATAGAGACAGACAGAATGAGATACAGAGAGCGAGAGACAGAGGGGGGGGGAAGGGAAGCAGCCCTGTGTGGCACTTGTTTGGCGTGTGCGTTTCTTCAGTTTGCACCGACCGCGCCAACCGGTTGACATGTGAGGTGACGTCACGTTGCTTTGCTAGACTCCTTAAGCTTTAGCTGTGTGCTGTAATTGTATACTGTATTTGTCTACCACTGTGTCTATATACTGTAATTGTAAACGGAATTTTGTTTACCGTAATTGTATACTGTAATTGTATGCTGTAATTGTATGCTGTTTTTGTATACTTCCGCACCGTCGTCACTGTACAGCTCGTCACGGTGACGGAAGAAGGCGCGTCCGACAGTAGCTTGGTCGGCATTGTGTAGTCCTTGCCAGCAACAATACCGCCATCATCACCACCAACAACGAAGCAGCAATGCAATAACAGCATCGACAGTAACGACAGCATCAACAACACAGCAGTGATATCAGCAGTGCAATACCGTATATGACACAAGATAGCACACTCCCTGGACCGACCGATTTTCAAAGCTCGATTACTCCACGACGAAGAGGGCGCATAAACAAAATGATACATTTTCGAAAAGTCGGAGACGGTTTCAACGCCGCCGTTTTCGGCGCTGTGACTGTTCCTGCAGTTGAGAAATCGAGCTTAGAAAATCGGTCAAGGGGGTGTTTTATCTTGTGTCATATACGGTTAACAGTATTGACAAGAACGACAGCATCACCACCACCAACGGCGTCAACAACCCTGCTGTGTGCGTGTACATGTAACACTGTTTCTCCTTGGCGTGCCGTGCGTGTCCGGCTTGTCCGTCCGTGTCACCGTCGTCGACGACGACGATGACCCCAAGGGAGGCATCCTTTCCGGGGATGCCGCCGAGCAGACCAAGGACGTGCTATTGCTGGACGTGGCTTCGCTCTCCATGGGGATAGAGGTACTGTACAGCACTCGTGCTCGCTAGTAGTTTTCTGATGACCGCCTTCGCGAGAAATTAGTTTTTTGAGGAAGAGGGGGGGGGGGGGGGGGGGGGGGGGGGGGGGGGGGGGACGCAGACCCGACTACCTAGCCCAACTTTCCCGTTTGCATGCTTACGTCATGCAACCTACCGTACTCTCTTGCTTCTGCGTGGGTGGTCTGGCGAAGTGTGGCTGTCACGAATACCGCACAGAAGGGTCTGGAGATGTGCATGCCCAACGAAAAGAATAGGCTAGATTTTCCCTTCCAACATGGATGTCCATGAAACTGCGTGTGGACTACAACGTCAAAGAGAGTCTAGCATGGTCTTGTTGAGTACCGTACATGACACAAAATAACACACCCCCTGGACCGATTTTCAAGGCTCGATCACTCCACGACGAAGCGGATGCATAAACGAAACGATACATTGTCGAAAAGCTCTCGACGAGTAGGTTTCAACGCCGCCGTTTTCAGCGCTGGGACTGTTCCTGCAGTTCAGGAATCGAGCTTCAAAAATCGAGCTTCAAAAATCGGTCCAGGGGGTGTGTGTATCATATACGGTATGCAGTGCTCCAGGGCTTCTGTGCGGCTTTGGAGACGGCGCACTTTTCCCCCACATAGTGGTATGATTTGCGGCCTCCAAAGTCTCACCGAAGGCTCTGGAGTGCTTGCATGGTCAACGAGACGAGCACGCTAGACTCTCCCTTTCACGCTCAAGTCCAAATCCAGTTTTGAAAAATGATCGTATGGACATCAGTCAATCGATCCCCCGTCCCATGGTGGCAGAAATATCGAAGCGCAGAAACGCCCTCGCTTCATCAAACATGCCATTTAAGCTTCAGGAGCATATGCCTCGCAGCAGGGATGTATAAAAAGCAATAGGGCAGCGCAACTTTTGTAAAGGCACTTCTGGTTTAGGGTTGCTAGCTTTTAGGTTCAGGAACATGGTGTGCCCTGCGGGGATGTAAACAGCAATTGTAGGGGGGTACGATTAGTTGTAGTGACACTTGCCCTGCCTGAAGAACGTTGTTCTTGCAAGAAAAACCATTTTTGGTATTTTGTATTGTCCTCACTTCGAATCATGGTTGTCCTTTAAAGCAGGGATGGCTGTACGGTGGTGATTCGAGGGGTATCCCAGCTACGTGCTGCCGTTTGTTTGATGGCGCGTCTTGCGTGGCGAAGACTTGCCGCAGACGAAGCATTCCCCTTGCCAATACTGTTCACCCCCCCCTCTTTCCGTTGGCGTATGTACTCACTTGTGTGCCGTGTCTGGTAGACGGCGGGCGGGGTGATGACGAAGCTCATCGAGAGAGGGACCACGATCCCCACGCACAAGTCTCAGCGCTTCTCGACCTACGCGGACAACCAGCCGGGGGTGCTGATCCAGGCGAGTGCCAGGCGATGGTAAAGAAGGCTGTCGTTGATCTCCTAACAATACAGCAGTAGTCGAGGGCCCTCTTCACAGCAATTGGCGCCCTCCCTTGAAAAACCTCTAAATATACTTTGGACCGAGGCTGGGGTTGTTACTGTATTCCTAGGGTCATGCTACGAAAAGCCGGTTTCAATAGGTTTTTAGTGCAGGGGTTCTTAACCGGGCCCGCCGAGAACGCGATACTGTGGGAGAGCCGTGATCAATACAGCAGCAGATTTTTTGGCCTGGTGGTTGGTATGGTACCTCTGGCGTCTGAATTCAGTAGCGTTGTGTGTGTGTGTTTTGTTTTGGGTATTTCGTGTAATAGTTTTCAGTTTTGGGGACGCAATGCGATTAGGAGCCTTGGTCGTAAAACCTAACAACGACCATTAGGTCAACCAAGAAATCTACATGCTAGGTAAATGCGACGACGGGGTGTGGCGTACAACTGCTGTTAAATTGAAGTGCGCGTAACTCAATTTCACACACGCAGTACGTACATTCATGTCATCATTTAACTCATTGTTGTGTGCGTAGTACTTTTCACACTAGGATACGTTGGCGTCATGGCAAGGGCGCATATTTTTTTTTCCGACACCTTTTTTTCAGATCTCTCCGGCGGGGGGGGGGGGGGG